GCACACAAGCATCATCCATCTTTAGATTGGATTTCAACTCACGACGAAGGATATCCAACTCAAAGAAGGAGTCTCTGTCGACAAAGACCTTCGAGTTCGACTACGCTCAGCTCCAAGGCACATCATTTATAACATAACTCAAGGCTAGAAGGGTTATCTGCCATCAAAATTGTCGAGTCCGATTTCATTCAGCTCGATGAAACATCAATCGCACTACTTTCCAGTTGCAGTCGAGGTTTTCAAGTCAAGAAGAGGAATTGGGTTAACCGTGCTTTAGTGACAAGCAACTATTTTCAAGCAAAAGCTATATGTCAATGAAGATTTCTCAGTTCGATTCCGATCCAAGGTCTTTAAACCGAGAAGAAGACCGAAGGGCAACGAGAAGCCATGTGCTAATTCAAATTCCGAACTACGGCTTCAATTTCATATCATTTCAAGATGAACTCGTATTCACGACGGAGGAGTCATCCGTAACTCAATTCGACAGGGAGTTATTGAAACATCAGAGTCAATTTTCAACTCCATCGAACGAAAAGTGTGTCTTTTAATCTTTGCCCTATCCCCGTTACACGACTATGGGCAAAGAGGGGCAGCTGTCAACACACCTTTTCGTCCTACTAGGATTCAAACTCCTAAAAATAGGATAGAAATTTGCTAGGATTTAAACTCCTAAAAATAGGATAGAGTTTTACTATGATTTAAACTCATAAAGATATGATCCACAAGCACTATAAATAGACATTGTAACTCACTATTGCAAGAGAGGATTTACAGACAAAATACATAGGAAAACACGGAAAATACAAAGCAAAGCTATTGTAAACGATTCGAAAAGGAAATAAAAAGTAGCATTTTTTTATTCGTTCATTTCTCGCATGTGCACTTTATTTTTTTGAGATTTGGTTCGAATAACCCAAAACGTGGGTTGCGTCGATGACCAAAAATGGGTGGGGTTTCGAAGTTTCGAACCTAGATCTACCCCGAGGCGTGTTCATTTTTTATCCCCTAATGCGTAATATCAACGTTAATTGTCTTTCAAATTTGGCCCCAATCTTTATTTCTTTATATTAATCCTATTATTATCTATACATATATTTTTTATTTATTTATATTCATTTGGTTATTTTTAATACTATATTTATTTACTTATAAGCATATTATTACTATATATATATATATTGTAATTATCTTTATTTAGTTTTTTTTTACTTTATCATTATACATATATATATATGTATGTTTTAAATAGTTTATTTATAAGCCAATTATCATTATATGTATACTTTTATATTTGGTTTATATATTTATTTATTTTTGTTTTTGGTTTTGGTTTTTTTTATATTATATTATATTTTCATATTACTATTATTATTGTTATAATTATTATTTTTCTATTTTACTCATTTATATATATATATATCTTTTATTTTTTTACTTATTTTTATTCTTTATTTTTTCATTTTTTCATTTTTTTCTCTTACACATCTTATGACTTTTTAAGGGTATTTTTGTCAATTAATCAGAGGTAAGTAATTCATTATCAAATTTTACCTTTTAATTTAAAATTACAATTTTCTTAATTAAGACAACGGGAAATTACGTAGTACCGAAAGGGCGATTTAAGGGTGCTAATCCTTCCTTGACCGTAACCGACTCCCGAGCCCGACATATTTCTGGTAAGACGCAGATCAGGTAAGAAATAGGGTATCCGATCAACCCATTTATTTTTAAATAAATGATCGGTCCGTATTTTTCAAGTCGAAGCCCAATCTCGGGGCCCAACCGAAATACGGTTGCGACAGAGAATAATAAATAATTTAGGATTAAAATGATAAAAAATATTAAACATAAAGGACTAGATTATTGAGTTGTTTCAAATTAAAAAAAAAACTGGTATACTATATAAGTTTTAAGAACTGAATTGTTTCAAATTCGAAGAAAATTGGTATATAAGTTTTAAGAACTGGAATTATTTATATAATAGACAACATTATTATTCTCGTCTAAGTTTTAATGACATGTCTATAATAATATTTTAATTAATAATTTTAATTACAGATAATCAAGATATCTTGATTGTAGTTTACCTTTTTTAAAATAAAAATATAAAATATTTAAAAAAATAAAATATTCTTTTATGATTATAAATTATGTCATTTGATAATGAAAGTTCAAATATCATTGTTGAATATTTTAGTGTTTGAAAATATGATTTAAAAAGACAATAATTATCTTTTTAATCACTGAGATAAATTAATTTTTGCGATTACAAATTGTGTTTCTTTTTATATTTATTTTTACTATAAAATTATTTTTATAATTATGTTAATTTTATGTTTGATGGTTTTGTCTCGCACATATTCTTGAATTGTTTATAAACATTTTTATATATTTTTTAAATATTATATAATTGTTCTAGAAAATATTATAATGATTTGGAAGATTATTTTAATTAGAGTTAGTTGCCTTATATGTCCTCAAACTATAATCTTCATTTTAAATTGACACTTAAACTTTTAAATATTTTAATTTTATCTATAAATATGAATTTCATTCTAAATTAGTCATGAAACTTTTGTATATTTCAATTTCATCCTCAAATCCATCCAAATATGTAATTAGTTTAAATCATGGTTTAACCTAAATTTTGTTTTTTAACATATATTAATATAAATTGGCCAAACAATTTTATTAATAAGGAATATGAATTTTATATACATATAGTTTGGGATGAAATTGAAATGTTCAAAAGAGTTTATAGACTAATTTAGAATGAAGATCATAATTTAGAAATGAAACTAAAATATTCAATAGTTTGAGGACTATAACGAGATGATGTCCGATGTAGTTAAAAGAACAGTTTAATTTGAGTAAATTAAAAACAACAAAAAGGAGAGGATAAAAGGATATCAACGGGATCGATTTAAATGATAAATAGTTTAATATCATTTAAATAATATCTCAAATTCAAGTATTTATGTCTGTAAAATTTTTATATTAAAAATTTATTTATTAAAATTAAATGTGTGATCTAAATCGATCCGAGAATAAATACTCAAGCTTTGGAATAGGAGGAAAAAAAAGATGGGGTTGTCACTTGTCATATCGTGTAACGAGTGGGAGCGTCCAATGGGTTAGGTAGGAATTTCAATGATATATTATTGTATGTTTTTAAGCTTCACCTACTTGACGGTTAGTTGGTGTCTTCAACGACCAGTTCCCCATACCATATTCTCCCGCCATCTATTCTCATTGGCCCCACTGTTTTCTGCCTACCATTTCCCCCAAAATGTACAAACTTTTTTCTGTTATAATATTATTTTGAATATTAATTACCTTACTTTTAAGTTTTTCTTCTTCTTAATTTTTTTTATTGAAAAAATAAAGATTTTATGTCCTTCAAATTTGACTAAATGATCCAAAACAAATGATAAGATCTATGATATATTTTAAATAAAAAATATCTAAATAAGAAATAAAAGTAAATCTACAAATAAATGTTTTAAAAAATATTATTCCCATTAAAAATACTTGTAAATCTATAAAAGAATTCCAAGTACCATTTATTCTTCATTAAATTAAAGTTAACATGTAAGGCTAAATCTTTTAGATAATACGTTTAAATTTTTTATTAGCTCGAATAATATTTGTGTGAGACTATTTTCTCAAATATGGTAATTTTTACAGTATTGAGGGGTCACACATTGGAGTTCATGCCACACATGCGTTTGAATTTTTTATTGGCTGAACCTACTTGCATACTTGCATATTTGCATGTGTCGCATGGACTTCAATGCGCCACCCTCAATGTTGTAACAATTATCCTATTTGAGAAAATAATCTCACGTAAATATTTTTCGAGCTAATAAAAAATTCAAACGAATTATCTAAAAAAATCAAGCCCAACAATTTCTCTGACAAAATTACTTGGTCGGAAAATATCTCCCGCAAATTATTAGTTCAAGTGTGACAATTATTGCAATGTCATTAAGCAGATGCCGAAAACACAAAAATATAACGATCGTAGTATATTTTATACAAATATAAGGAAGACATCAAGTGATTCATACATCTTTCTTGATACTGTAATAATCCTCTCATTTTAGAAAAATATTTTATTTATTATCTTATACAATTCAATCTTTTCCTGCAATTTCCCTTTAAATCGATTTTGTCGTAATTCCTTTTATAAAATATAAGATTAAATTATACGTTTAATACCTAAATTATAAGTCTTAATCTATTTTAGTATCTAATTTTTATTTTTTTAAATTTTACCTAAAGTTCAATTTTTATTTCATTTTAGTATCCATGTTCAAAACTCAACGTTAACTTTTAAAAAATTGAAAGTTTAGGTACTAAAACGAACCAGAACTAGTAGTTAAGGTACTAAACACGCTAAGTTTTTAATGGTGTGATACTAAATGAAACAAAAACTAAACATTGGGTATGATTTTAAAAAAATTAAAAAATATGTACTGAAATAGATCAAAATCGATAATTTAAGTATTAGATGCGTAGTTTACCCAAAATATGTGTCGGCAATGGTAATGGGAGCAGTAGATTACCGCATTCTCACCGCCCAAATTCATCATTTCAAATCACAGTCGTTGCTTTTAACTGCACTTTATATGATCACGACACGTGTATGTGACACTGGCTTCACACTTTCCTTGTTTCATCATCCATCATTTAAAAACCAAAATATTCAAAATAAATAAATAAATGTATATATTTCATTTTTTGTTCTTACCCTTCTTCAATTTAAAGTCAATTTATTTTCACAGAAAGTTTCGATTTCCTTTTCTAGGTTTTTAATTTTTTAGTCATATTATTTATTAATATATGCAGATAATATCAAATTATATTTTTTATAATTAGGACTAAAAAAATAAATTATATTTTGAATATAATAATAACATTTTTTTAAAATAACGCTGGACTTAAAAGAGAGCAATTATGGGATTCTAGAATTTGATAGGACCAAAACAGAAAGGAGTGGAAATAGCAAAAACGGGAAAAGGGGTCCGTATTTTCCCCACTCTTGGAATCCATACATCTCTGATTTCACTAAACAATCTCAGCTCCCAATCGTAATTACCCTCGCTCTAAACTGTAAGTTGTTTCAATTTGATTTTTCTCCTGCGATCTAAGCTAGAAATTATATTATATCAAGCATTCAATTGATTTTGATTTTGCTCATAACGGGAAGCAGAAAATCCGTTTCTTTTTTTTTCGATTAGCAAAAATTTGTAAGTGCTTAGACGAGTTTGTAATAGTTTTTATCATTTTTCCAGATGCCCTTTCCCATGATCTATGCAATTTTCTGGTTTATTTGTTGATGATTGTAAGGTTTAAATGTGGGTTTCTCTTTCTTTAGGTAATTTTCAAGTTGATTACATAGGATATACTTATTAGATCTGTAATCGAAAGGATCGATAAAGATCATTGGTGAGGATGGCTTGTCGAGGATGCTTAGAGTGCTTGTTGAAGCTCTTGAACTTCTTGATGACTGTTGTTGGTTTGGCCATGGTTGGATACGGGATCTATTTGTTTGTTGAGTACAAAAATGCTAACGATACTGCCGATCTATTGTCACCTGTGGGCAATAATCAAGATTTGATACAGTTTGGTAGGCCCATGCTCATGGCTGTGTCTCTTTCGTCTGATATTTTCGATAACCTGCCAAAGGCATGGTATGAGTTCTTAGCATTTGCTTATAGTTTAATATCGTGTTTCTTATTTCTAATCAGAATAGCTTGCTTGTTCAGTGAATCCAAAATGTGGCTACGCAGAATTTGTAACATTGCCGTTTTCTTTAGTTATAGTTTGTACATGTAATATAACATTGACTTACCACCCTTTAATTTGAGTCATAAAAGCTTGAATAATTTCTGCTTCTAAGATCCCCTAATGCTCACCGGAGGTGTACTTCTAATTGTTATTCACTGGTATAACATATTTATGCTTTCCTGTTTTGAGTCATATGTTTTCTTGGAGGATCTTATACTGGTTTTTAGGTGTATTTATATACTTGTTTCTGAGTATATGAATTTTAATTGGAACTCATGTGCACATTTGAGTTGAATTCTCTGCATGTTCTCTTGTGTTTAAACTATTTGTTTTCCAATTTTGCAGGTTTATATACTTATTTGTTGGAGTAGGTGTGGTTCTCTTTGTTATTTCTTGTTTTGGTTGTATCGGAGCTGCAACACGGAATATATGCTGCTTGACTTGTGTATCCTAATTACTCATTTGATGGTTAGAATAGTGGCAATAACATATCACATAGATTTTGTGTAGCATCATAAAAACATTTTGATCTAGTAGTTCATAAACAACTAATTTATTAATCCTCATTCATCGTTCCTAACCAATAACCATTTCTTTTTCATCTATTTCATGATCATTGGTTTCCTTAACGTAATATAGTATTCTGTTTTGGTGATCTTCTTAATCTTGGTGGAGCTAGGATGTGCATCTTTCATATTCTTCGACAAACACTGGAAAGAAGTAAGTTGTGTTAACTTTTTGGTTCCCCTATTGGCCTATTCAATTGACGGTCTGCCTGGTAATCTAATTAGTGATTATTTCTTTAGGAACTTCCTACGGATAAAACTGGAGATTTTGATATGATATACAGATTTCTGGAAGAAAACTGGACTATTCTCAAGTGGGTTGCTCTTGGAATTGTTATCTTACAGGTAAGTGTAACGTGCCATGCTGCTAATTCTGAGGACTTGAAGATAGTTTCACTAAGCATGCTAATTCATGATCATTTGCATGCAAAAAATTGAGAAGTAATAGGATATACTAAGACTTGTTAAATTAAGTTAGTTTCAAACGAAAGGAATCCCCCTTTGGTTCCTAGCATTTCGAGCATACAAATTGCATTTCTTATTCTTGGCAGTTGCACTTTATGTCTTTGTAGTTTCATTTAGCTTTTAGAAATATTGCAGGATTCTTTTGGATAAGAAGTCCCTCTGGCCAAGGGCATTTTATTCTTGCAAAGCATATATGATTTGGCTTGAATGACTGACTATCTATTGAAAATATATCCAGTTTACAAAAACAGATACGATATTACTTCAAATGTCATAGTCAGCTAAAAGTTGATAAGCATTTAATTTAATCATGCTAAGGGGAAGTTGAAAGCTTCATCAACTTTTTTTATTTATGGGGAATGTTGTGCATTTTTTTACTTTTCATTGTGGATTGTGTTTAACCTGATCATTTATGACATTATTTTAGACCTAGATAACTTTCAGAAGACAATCATTTGGTGTGGCCACAATGCACTAAGACTAAACTTGGTTGATAAATTGCACTAAGATTATAATGTGCTTTATAACTTAATGTTTTCTATTTATGATAATGGCATGGAAATAAGTTGATGAAAGTCTTTTTGTTACTTTGAACTAAAATGGCATTGATTTGATACTGCTTATTTATCAAAATAACCTTGAATCAATTAAAAACTGGCTCTGATTTCTCTATTAGCATAACATCTACTCTGCTATAGTTTGGGGCATTAATACCACTGACTTGGATGAAATCAATTTGAACTTGCAGGCACTCAATTTCTTGTTAGTCCTTATGGTTAGGGCTGCCAACAGACCTGCTTATTACGACAGTGATGATGAGTTTATTGCACCAAGGCCACAAATCAGACAGCCTTTGATCAATAGGCCACCAGCACCAGCTGCAGGTGTACCTGTTCCCACCCTTGAACAACGGCCCAGCAGAAATGATGCTTGGAGTACACGAATGAGGGAAAAGGTATTTTCTGTTCAATCGATTCCTTTGATATGGTTGCCTTTATGATAATGTCTCACTTAGGTTCATAAATCGGACCTTTATTTTCTCCATACTTTTGAATCGTGATATTGAATTAAATAATCTGCTAAAACATCAAGGGTTTAGAATTACAACGTAAAGCTGTATGCTAGTGAAATCTCTGAATCAAATGTTCATTTGCTAAATGTACATTGTTTCTCTAGCTGAGATTTCCTACCATATATTTAGAGGGTGGGAAGGGAAGAAGAAAATCTTAAATATATCTTTCTTTTTTCTAAAGTCATTAACATCTTTGAAATTCTAGATATGGTTGCATGTGGCTAAACCTCGACATTTAGTGAACACTGCTCACTGTTATTTTGATCAGTCATATTCTTAAACACGCCCAAATGGGCAAATTTTACCTTTGACAGAATCCATAAATTGACTATTGTTTTAGATGGTTAGATTGCACACCCTGCCCAGTCACCCTATTTGCCTATTTCTGTGTTATTTTTCTCACGTCGATTATTGTTATTGCAATTTGTTGCTCTAATATGTTTCCCACTGCATGTAAATCAGTACGGGCTGGATACATCGGAGTTCACCTACAACCCTTCTGAGTCGAATAGGTATCAGCCAGTGGGACAACCAGCAGAAGAAAGGAGTCGGTGCACCATTATGTGATGACATATTTTGGGTTTTGTGGAAATCTTATTTGGTTAGCACCGGAGAAGATTGCATTGTCAATGGAGTGACAACTCTATATATATAAGATGACAGTTCCATTTCCATTTTATCGAGTTTGTGTACAATACCCAGTTGTGAGGGGCTTGTGCTGTAGAGAACAAATTACAAACGACTTCCAAATGCATAACTGTTGTGTGTAAAATTTCAGTCGTCCTCTCTTTTTGTTTGCTCACAATTAGTTTTTTGTGTAAATTACATATTTAGTCATTCATCTATTTCAGTGGTCATCTAATTATTTTTATTTTTTAAAATCATACTTAACAATATATTTTTCCGTATTGGACATATGGTGTTAAAAATTTGTTAAAAAGTAAATAAAGTTATTGATGTAAATGATAATGTTTTATTATCTTATGATGATATGTTAATATCATTATTAAATTTTTAATGGTAGGTGCTGAAAATGAAAAATAAAATATAATATTAAGTATGATTAAAATAGTTTGGTGACCAAACTAAAACCACTAAAATAAGTGGGTCACTAAATTGGTTAAGTACGAATTTAGAACTCAATACCTTTTCAATGCTATTCATCCTTGCCTCTGACTTTGGATAATAAGACCTTTTTACGAGCAGGCTGGTAGAGCCTATATTTCTCATCCTTGGACGTGAACGAATGCCAACGGTAGCTAAAGCATTGATTTTCCTTTTCGGTTTTATCGGACCGAAACAATGCTATTTGCAGGCTTGAAAACAAGAAGTAACAATCAGCAACATATTGTCAACAAACGTCCAATGGTTATCTATGTTAGAGAGAGATCGAGGAGAGCTGTCGGTGTAGTTTTTTCTTAAAAGTTTTATATTTTTATATAACTTAGATATTTTTATATTCTATGTTGATAATATGATTCCGTCCTTTAAAATTTTATAAATTCATTTTTTACCTACAATGATGTATATTTCTCTTATTTGTCCTAATAGTTGGTGTAGATGGTAAACTGGGAGTTATTTACGTCGTTCTCTTTACTATTTATGGCATATCTCTTCTGGGATTTGAATTTTCTTTGATTAATTTCTTATTTTATTGGTGTTGTTCACCCTAAAATTTTATTTATGTCTATTCCGTTCAAAATTTTTATGTTGCTAACTTACGTGTCTATCCTTAAAAATATTTCTAAATCTGTTACTGTTATTCACCACGGCAGCCCTCAAAGTTTTGATTAAAACGGCAGTCCGTTCCCCCGAAGTGTCCAAACCACATCCACTTGCAGCAAGAACAAAAGTGGTGCACTCACTCACTGGGTCTCATCGCATTCTTTTGGTGCGAGTGTTTTTTTGGGGTAGTTGGCAAATGAATAAAATAATATACAGGAGAGTGCGTTTTGGGTAATGGCAGAATATCTGTAGCCATCGATCATCATTGTGCTCATGAGCCACACAACTTGTTCTTCATTCCTCATTTCTTTGAATCTTTTTAATTCCTCCAATACGATGAGGTGCTTGTTGCTCTACTTCTAACGAATTGGAAGTACTACAAAGCAGATTTCATTTTGTTCTACTTTGTGGTGGTCCTTGAGTTTGAAAATATCAAAGGCCAGAGAAGAAAGTATTTCTTTAATTCGTTTTTTCTCAAAAATAAATGTTTATTTAGTTTTAGTCCTTCTGTCATACATAAACTAAATTATCTCGGTAGTTAAAGAAATGAGAAATCTCTGATTCGAGAGCACCAGAAATTACATGATATTTAGATATTCAAGAGTCTTTACCATAGATATTACCGCACCTAGATTAATAAAAATATAATCCTTCTGCCATACTGAAATTTAGGGTTTAATGAATTTGTTTTGATTTGACATAATTTAATCCATCTATTTTTATCACTTTTACTCGACGCTGACATATTTTCGGTTGAGACTTGAGATTGATGATGAGGTTTTAGGTTTGAGGCTCATGGTTATTTATATATTCAATGAGGTTAAGTTGTTGCGAAAGGCAAGTGCGATTTTTATTTTATTTTTTTAAGCAAATTGGAGGTTTTGTGGTCCTTGGAGTTATCAGAATTCAAAAGTCAACTGTTTTCTAGCCTCTCCCAAATTGCATGGCAACTTTATACATTTATGTATAATACAATATCATTCAATTCTATAATTTTCTTGTTAATTCTGACATTCCTACTTCATATACATACATGGATTCTATATTAAGTAGGGCAAAGTACACAAATGATCCATCGACTATAGGATAATGTTTTATTGAGTTCATTGGCTATTAAATGTTACAAAATGGTCCATCGACTATAGGGAGTTTCTTTGTTGAATCACTCGACTACTAAAAGTTATAAAATGATCACTTGACTATTCATTATGTTCCAAACTCGTCATTTTTCGTTAAAATTTTGACGGCATTCTGAGTTGTACGTTAATCTATTGACTGAGATATGGTAAAATCTGGTATTATACTCTCAAATGACTATCATATAGAAGTCAACATTTTAACGCCCAACTTAGAAGACCATTAATTTTTTTAACAGAAAGGGACGAGTTTGGAACATAATGAATAGTTGAGTGGCCATTTTGTAACTTTTAGTAGTCAAGGGACTCAATAAAACAATATGTTACAAAATCTTGGAATGAAATAAAAATATTTCTTATGTTTTTGGTTGGTTGATGTAAAAAAATCTCACCAGATAAAGAAGGTTGGTTCTTCAATAAGCTCATAAAAAATTCAATCTATAATTTTGAGTTTTTAACCCTTGAAAAATCTCATTCCACCATACATGCTAATAATGAAGCATTATTTCCATGCATAATATCATATATATATATAGACCTAAAATTTTATGTTATGAGTTAAATTTATAAAACTTTTAGGAAAATAACAGTTTTCGCTAAATACTCGATTCATCTTTAATCATAAACTCCACTCTTTAAATCTTAGGATACCCTCTTATCTTTAGTTTTAGGTTAAACTATGCATTTAATACCTAAACTATTAGTTTTAGTTCGTTTTAATACTTAAACTTTTAATTTTTTTAAAACCATACCTAGTATTTAGTTTTTATTTCATTTTAGCACCCCATTGTTAAAATCTTAACGAGTTTAGTACTTAAACTATTGGTTTTGGTCCGTTTTTAGTACCTAAATTTTTTCAAAACTTAACGTTAAATTTTGAACGGGTACTAAAACAAAACAAAAATAAATTTTAGGTGTAATTTTAAAAAAATTAAAAGTTTAGATACTAAAATATATCAAAATTAATAGTTTAGTGTAATTTACCCTTAGTTTTATTCTTCTTCTCTGCATGGCTGTTAAAGTCACCGTCCAATAATTAAAACAGAAAGATTAAAAAAGTTTTTATTATTTAATAAAAGTAAATGTCAAAGAAAATAGATGGGACGTTATAGTAGAAACCCACAGCTCTCTACCTTCACATATAGTGCGCCGGTCCAACCTTGTCCCTTTTGTTACACTTCATGATGTATTGTCAAATTTTCAGATACATAATATTTTTTTAGTTGACTCAAGTTTTAAGATTTTACTTTGATTAATTAAATGGACTATATGAGGATTTATTCTTGAGTAGTTTCGATATTAAAATAATACATTGAAATCTAACTTTAAATTTTAGTATCGATACCTAAGGTCTGGTATTTATATTGACCGGATAGTATCGATACTCTAAGAATGAATAGTATTGGTTTAGCAGATCCTAGGTAGATTCTATGTTTAATATGTTTTGGTTCTTAACAGCGTATACTAACATGATAGATTAGGAAGCCATAAATTTTACATCAATAATTGTATATTACATATCAGGCTTTGGTATGCTTGGTTTGAATTTCGGTTTGCACTAGTTGTAGTTTCAACTCTGCTGGGGTTTCATACAAGCTAAGACTAGAATTTTTTTTAACAACCCTGCAATGGATTCCTTAAAAGGTGATTGCTTGAATAGAAAGCACTTGCATTATCAATTGTTTTAGGACATTATGGTTTTCTTGTATTGGAAGTGACATCTTGATTTGTACGGGACTGTCTTTGGGTTATAGCTTAAAATGATTATGATTGGCTGATTTGGCCATTTTAGAGCAGGAAATTGGGACGTGTTAAAAGTGACATTATGGTTTTCTTGTAATGAAAGTTGCATTATCATCTTCACTCTCTTGCCTTTTGCAAGTTGAGGTTATGGATGGCTGTTAAAAATGGCCATAATTTCGGTGTCTTTTTCTGTTTGGTCGTAGCATGAATGAATTTTCCTAGTGCTTGGCATCAAATAAGCCAACTTAAGGCCTCTGATTGTAATGGTTTTTGAAAATTCTATATATTAATATCCTAGAACAGTGGCAATCAGACTCCTTCCCTCGGTTCTGCTTCCTTTTTCAAGGCTTTCTATTCTCAAATTCTGGTTATGAGAACTAGGAGGGGAAGGCGTACTGAGGTATTGTTTTGATGCTTTGTTAGTTTTTCTTTTTTCTTCACTTTAGATGAAATTATGCATTTATGATGAACTTGGTTGAACTGTGTTTGATTTCAGGCCTTTTGGCCATCCATTGTGATGAAGAAATGGTTGAATATAAAGCCGAAGGCGTACGATTTTAGCGAAGACGAAGTCGACACCGAAACTGAGAGTGAAGATGATGGTATAATATCTTGCCATACTCGTATTTGCTTCTACTTCTTGCTTGATGATGTCCTTTTTCCTGTAATATCCATCCAGCTTGCTCTCTTAAAGATTCAAGGTTGCATAATGGTGAGGATCATACCCATAGGTCATTGGGGAAACAATCTGAGTGCAGAGACCAAATTCCAGGCAATATTTTGTTCACATTCTTTAGTGTGCAGATCAACATGAGTACAATAAAGTTTCAAGTTAATCGGTAAATCGTCAGGCTGAAGTTTTTTTTGTGATGTTTCATCGTTCAGATGAACCTTCGAAAGGCTACCGATTAGGACACAGGAGGGGAAAGTTAGAAACTCTGCGTGCACAGTACATAAACACGAGGGATGTGAGGTTTGACTGCAAGATGTCTATGATCAAAGTGTAAGCTTCAAGATGTTGCTGCTTTAATTCTGATTGAAACATATCTTGGTTACTTTTAGGGTGACAATAAGCACTTGGAATGTTGCTGGAAGACTTCCAGATGAGGATCTTGAGATTGATGATTGGCTTTGCACGACGGAGCCGGCCGATGTTTACATTATCGGGTGAGTATTTTCATTACCTGTTCGATACTTTTTCTCTGGATTTCTCCTCAACTGTATTTGATTGTTGATATCATACTCGATCTGCTTTGGACAGCTTCCAAGAGGTAGTCCCTTTGAATGCAGGAAACGTCTTTGGAACCGAGGATAGCAGGCCGATTCCGAAATGGGAGGCAATCATTAGAAGAACTCTAAACAAATCGTTGGTACCTGAAAGCAAGCACAAATGCTTCAGTGCTCCCCCTTCTCCTGTGTTAAAAACTTCTTCAGTTGCAGATGTATTAGCAAATGAAATCGAAGCTCTGCCATCGGAAGTGATGTGTGTCGAATATTTGGAGACTGCTAATGGCTATGATCTTGAACGGAAAAACCTGAACAAAGATGTTAATGTTGGACCAAATCTTCAGCTGAGGAGAATCTATGGTATCGACTTCGACACTAGGTTAGACTGGCCTGAACATCCTTTAGATGCAACACCACAAATTATCTCGTCAAATTCGAAACTACGGCGAGTACTGAGCAGCTCTGCAAGAATGGGCTTTAATCTGACAGAGAACTCCATCTTCCACAATCCTAATGATGTAGTGTTAAAAGAAAGCAGATTGAAAAGATCCCACCATAGCTCTGGAAACCTAAAGTCAATGTGTATGCATGAGCAACCGATCCTAGAAACTGTAGATTCCTTCTCAGATACATCTGATGAGATTTCTGAAGAAGAGGATGACATGTTCTTAGATGTACAAATGGAGCAACACGAAAACGATAGGCCAAGGTCACACCCGAAGTACGTTCGAATCGTTAGTAAGCAGATGGTTGGAATATACATATCTGTATGGGTGAGAAAGAGGCTGAGGAGACATATAAACAATTTGAAAGTCTCTCCTGTTGGAGTTGGTCTAATGGGATACATGGGAAACAAGGTAAAGACCATTAACACTGATCAAGTGCTGAAAATGGCTGCTTTATCAGTATTGATATGCCTAGATGGCTTTTGCTTTTGCTTCTGCAGGGATCTGTTTCTGTAAGCATGACTCTTTTCCAGTCCAGGTTATGCTTTGTGTGTTCTCATTTGACATCGGGCCAGAAGGACGGAGCTGAACACAGGCGTAACTCCAATGTGTATGAAATTATACGGCGTACCAGTTTCTCATCTGTCCTTGATACAGATCAACCTCAAACAATTCCGGCTCATGAGTAAGCAAAATGTTAGCATCTACTTTTGATTTAAGTAAGAAATTAAACCGGAGACATGAATTAGTAGTTGTGTAAACAGTCAGATATTTTGGTTCGGGGATTTAAATTATCGTCTCAACATGCTGGATGCGGACGTAAGAAGGCTTGTTGCTGAAAAACGCTGGAACGAACTAATCGACTATGATCAGGTGAGTATCACAGTGATCTAGATTTGCCCTTGGAAACACTACTTTGATGAGAACAAAAGCTAATGGCTTCAACCCTGTGCCACAGCTTCGTAAGGAACTGTGTAGTGGTCATGTCTTTGATGGATGGAATGAGGGAACTATAGATTTTCCTCCCACCTACAAATACGAAATGGATTCCGATATATACGTCGGTGAGGTCCCTAGAGAAGGCGAAAAGAAGAGATCTCCGGCATGGTAAGCACCGCTTCATAAGGAACTGATCATTCATTAAGTTCCACACAATTCAATCTTCTTATGGTCTACATTATTCCCTTGGTAGGTGTGATCGTATACTCTGGTCGGGAAAAGGCATAAAACAACTTTGTTACCAACGAGCAGATATAAGATTCTCGGATCACCGACCAGTGAGTTCGATGTTCGTAGTTGATGTTGAAGTCTTGGACCATCGCAAGTTGCAGAGGGCTCTCAATGTCAGCACTGCTGCTGTGCATCCAGTGACTTTCTTTGATGAAAATGGGGAAATAGAATTTTAGCATACCATGCCATGTCAGAGTATCAATAGCATACAAGAAATATGCTAAGCTTATAATTCATTCAACAAGTTTAAGCAGGATCAAGTGATTTCTTTTGGTAGCATTTGAACAAAAGCTTTACGGTGGGTTTGAATGTACAGAGACCAACATTCTTTGCTTCTTTTTTCCATTAGCTAGATTGTGCAAGCACAGATTTTTTTTCTCTTCCAAATATTATGTACATACACGGTATCTATTCAAAGATAGCTCATAATCATTTGACAACGCTCACAATCCTGATATTTATGATACTCGAACTCGAGACTTCAAGAAATAACAACAATTTATTTACCATTAAAATATAAGGCCGGAAAAACACTTGCAATTCACAAAAGTCAAACGCTTTCGTTCGGTCGTGAAATGCCTTGTAAGGACGGACGGGGAAGCAATCGACGGTTAGATAATGTTCAATCTCTTGCATCCAAGGACTTGAATGACGTGCCATCATGGTGTATGAGGCCAGAGGTAATTATTATGAATAAATTACACAATTAGTCATTAAAATTATGGGTTCATGATTAATTTTTTTCAATCTCCATACTAAAAATTATTAATTAATGAATAAATTATGCATTTAGTAAAACTATCAATTTGGATTAAATACTTAGATTTCTAATTTTAACATCTTTAGCTATCATTTTAATACTTAGATTTCTAACTTTAAGATTTTATTTTTATTTTATTTTTGAACTCTATTATTAAAAATTTAACAATTAAAACATATCAAAACTTTTTCAAAGGTAAACTCAAACTACTATCGATTTTTATTAGAAAAAAAGTTTAAAACATATAAACAATTATATAGTTATTTTATAATTTTTGATAATCAGAGACACATTTATCCTCAAACGACCATTTATATGAACTAAAAATCTTAAGACTGAAAGCTTAAATCAATATATGAACTCAAAACAGGGCATCAGTTCTCCAAGGTGATTAAGCATCAAAGATATACTAATTCAGACGCATATTACCCATAAAAATGAGATTCATCACATGCCCACAACACATTTCAGCAAGACAAGTTCAAAACATGAACTATTCTTCTGATAAACAGAAATAAAAAAAAGGGATCAGAACCTGTCGGAACTTCAGTTTAACATCAACATGTTATATCAGTGGATTGACAGACCATTGAATTTCTATCATCACATCCCTTAACTTTTCCTTCCCCCCCCCCCCCAAAAAAGGACCCAGAAAACCCAGTTTAAATGTACAACAAAAATAGGAAAAGATGAGCTCAGAACTTCTTAGAGGGATTGTGCTACCGTAATTGGAGGCTTCTCTGGTACACAGTAATATTCGTCATCGCAAATACTTTCACAACAACAGATTAAAGTTGAAAGACTATAGAGGAACAATAGCCGAAAAGTGTATTTATAGAGGCAAAAAGAAACCCTAGTGACCGCTTAAAAATGGGCGGCGTTTTGGGTTTAATCTTCACATAGTTATAATTTAGGCAAACTGTCATAATGATCACTTTTTGTTTCAGTTTTGTTTAGTTTTGATCATTGATTTTCAAAACGTTACATTTCAGTCATTTATGTTGTTGATTTATTAAATTTTGATCACTTACGTTATCGATTATTATATTTTGGTTACTTTATTGTTAACTCTTTTAGTTTGATGACGTGGAATGTTAGTAAAAAGGATAATTTTTAGTTTGACCCCTAAATTTTATCATTTTGACCTTAAACTTTAGATAAAATATAAATTTGACTTATGAATTCAACCAAAATCTTCTGTCGTCGCCCATAAGTCATCATTGTCACTACCGATCGCCATAGATTGTCGTAGGTTTTGATGAACTTTGGATCCCGAAATTTCTAATATACTCCTTTTATATCATGAACACGAATTTGGTGTTTGTTTCATTAAAAAATGCTCTAAACTCATCAAATTTAACTTAGAACCCTCTCATTTATTGGCTTGTTTAGAAGTTTGTTTATTGGTCGTTTAACGACTCATTTAACGATTGTTTATTAGCTCATTTACTCGGTTCTCACTTTTCTTTTCTTTTTTTACATTTTCAATATTGGTGATGAAATGGACTAAATTGAGTTTAAACTATGAAGTCTAAGGAACTTAAAGATTAGTGGCATAATTTCATCCTTTTTCATTCCAAGAGTGTTGGCTCCCGGACATTAAACGAACATTAAATGAACATGTTTGCAATTTTAGACAAACATGTTCGCGAATGTTAGATGAACATGTTTGCGATTTTAAACAAATATGTTCTCAAACACTGAATCAACGAATAAACAAACATAAAAAAAAATAAACGAGCACATACATGATACTGAATATTTAAATGAACACATAACGAACATGAACACCTTTTAAAAACAAACAAATAAACACGAACACAACTTCATTCGCTCAAACTTAGTTCATTTACACCTTTAACCTCCATTCTCTCATCTCACTCAAATCACAATAGATTCATGCTTAAACAATTATAAAAACTATCACAATAATATATTAATTGTTTTTTTAACAATTTATGGTGATTATAAGATAATATCTCGTTAAATTTTTTTACAACATTAACAACACACATCCTACAAACATCACTGCTCGAACTCTACTTTTATAATATATATCGATAAATTCCTGCTTAAGAAAAAACTAAAATGACACTTCTGAATCTAGTTTCGTCAGGAGCAAAATGACAATATACTTAATGTGCTTTATTCATTCACAAAATACTATATTTTAACATGTGTGTATTTACTATTTATAGCCGTAATATAATTTATTAATAATTAATATAATCATAAAAGTATAATTTAATATTTTAATATTTAAAATTCTGATTAAAAAAATTAAAATTAAATTTTTACCCCTAAATACAAAAGTAACTTGGCCCCTAATACTGGGTGCAATAAATTCTAGCCCAAATAACATAATGGGATTTCCCAAACTGGGTAGCAGAATAAATCCCAATAGACATGTATCAAATAAGGGTTTTTTCCCCTCCCAATAGGCCCATCATGATTTTTTTTTGAAGATAAAGGACTGTCAAAAAATTATTTTGGGATCTACAATATTTTTTACAGTGCTTGAGGAACTCGTTACCTCCGAACGATATTGTTATTATATTCCATGTTTATTATTTAATTAATTTCTACGAAACTTGTCACCTCGAGATGACGAGTTCTTTTAAAATAATATAAATTTTTTTACAGTTATTTGGTTCAAATAGAAAAATGGACAAAAAATCTTTGAAACTCGTCATCTTGAGGTGACATGATCGACACTGCTGGTAAATGAAAGCAATCTGACGATGATGGACATAAACCTGTTCAAAATTAAGTTGATTCTTATAGTGAACATTTTGGGGTTTTATAGGAACGATTGCAAAGGGGGCGGCACTTCTACACCAAGAGGGGGCAAGGGAAGTTTATGCATGCTGTACCCATGCAGTTTTCAGGTTTTAAAAACTTTAATAAGTTTTGGATGAACTTGTAGGTAAAAGCTGGTTTATGGTACTCAACAATGTGAATGATATCATTTGCTGCTTTCTGCTGTTGTTGTGTGTGTTTTTGTTGACAGTCCTCCAGCAATAGAGAGGTTATCAGGTGGACTATTTCAAGAAGTAATCATAACAAACACCCTACCAGTAGCAGAGAAGAATTACTTCCCTCAGCTGACCGTTCTTTCGGTTGAGAATCTGCTGGGTGAAACCATCTGGCCTGTTCACGATGATTGTTCCGTCAGTAGCATTTTTCAGTGACAAATCCCGAGGGTGTTTTTTTTTCTTCCAAATTTATGCAGGTTTTTGCAGATAATGCAATCTAGTCCTTTGCCTTGTGGGACTGGCTGGGCACCAGTGCTGAAAAGAGGCTGTTTTGGATCACATAGGAATAAGCTCTAGTCCAGGGGGGGATGGAGAATCAACACATGAGTCTCATATTTCATTCCTTCTCCTCTCACATCTACATAATCTAGTTTTCTCCTAGTTTTATTTTTAAATTTTTTTTAGCTAAATTTACTAATAGATTTGGAACTTGGACCAACTGCCACCTATAGAGACTGTTTAAAATTTTCTTAATTCAAAGTTATAATTTTTTGCCACTGCATCGGTACTTCTAAAAGTATGTTCTTTAATTTCCTTCAGGTTATTAGTTCGAGAAATTTTAAGCTTGTCCTGACTACAACCACCATGATCTTCATCATCCTTAGCTACTTACCAGCTTCATCGTTAGTGCTTATCACTACATTTGTTCTGGAGTTCATTTTGATCCTTCTCTCTATCACCTATCCAAAGTATTTCGGTTTACTAATTTTTAACTTATCTTCGTCTTAAGCCTTTGTACACTTGGAAATTTCTTTCAAAAAGTACAATTAATAACGATCTATTTATGATGGAAGAAAGTTTTAAAGAACTCAACGTAAACTGCATTTTAACAAATACACTTGGACCAGTTCTCGAAAAACAGGGGATATAACAATACATTAACTACGATACCAAATTGTTTCCATTTTGGTCCTTAATACCAAAATAAATCAAGGACCTAAATTGCATATATCTGGACTTGGAATTTGATACGATAATTTATGCGTACCATTGGATTTACTTTTATAATGGTGTTTAATTGAACCCATTATCTGACTTCGACGGTTAAAGAGTGTTCTTCTTAAAGATTATAGGTTCGAATAAATATGTCTGCATGATGTATGTAAATTATCTATGATTAAAAGGATTATGAACAAGTACTTCTTTATATTCACTACAAACTATTATAAAAAAGAATGGTTGTTTAATTGAGTATCCTATCATACATTTTCCTTAGGTTTTTTCCTTCTCAACCGTGCTACTCACTCCTTTTTATCTTTGTTTAGCCAGCAGCGACTTACATTTTCCTTTAAGTTTTTTCCTTTTCATATTTGTTTAGTCGACATCGACACTAGTTTTTGTGCTGATTGTCAACCGTCGATATTCTTCATTTTTTGTTAATTTTCTTATATTATATTTTTAATTTCCCCTTGATTTTTGATTTTTAATAACTTTATTTTTATGATATGTTTTTATATGTTTCTTTGACATGTTTCCCGTCTTTTTTATCGATGTTTGGTCATTTTTTTTGTTATATCTCTTTCTCGAGATTAGATTTGACAACATCTCAATTGATAAAATATCACTTATTTAATATCTTGATGATCTTTTATGCTTTAAACACTTAAATTGGATTATTGTATGCATTTGTGTTCGTAGATAATTTTTTAGCATTGTTCAACTCTAACATGTGGTTTGTTGGTTATCTTTCAATAATTTTGATCCATTTATGATTCATTTGTCCATACAATCAAATCTTAAGCGACTCTTAAGAGTCTATCTTAAGGGACTAGGGAGAATTGCAAAATTTTGTGAATTTTTAACACTTAGGTGACTTTATCTTAAGCGTATAAATTATTGGCACGGATGATATCTAAAACTCTCCATAAACAGATCAACACTCAGAAGTTGAGATTTATTCTATTACCATAACGGAAGAATTAATGAAAGGCATTACAGCATCATCAGCATGGTATAAATAGGCTCAAATCAGCAAATTTAGGCTCAACTGCCATTAACTATTTACAACATTCAAAAGGACAAGCAGCCAAACCAATCGAAAGAGAAACGTCGATTTCGATCGACCTCACCTCATTACGTGGGCACAGCTTTGATAGCTTTCTGCAATTCAATCTCCATCTCGCTCATCTTGCTCCCATTCTTCATTGCTTCTCTTCCACCATTGTATTCAGCACTACTTTTCTTGCTCCTCCACTGCTCGAAGTCGGTCGAATTCTTCACCGAAGGCGTGGAGGCCATCCGCCGTAGACCCTCATTTTCCCTACTAGCTTTCCTAGCTGAAACCTCATGTCTCACATCATCTATGTACTGCTTCATTTCCCTGTTCTCATTCTCCAACCTCTCCAAATCTCTCCTCATCCACGAATGCACACCTTTAAGCATTTCGAACTCGTCTTCGTTACTCGCAACGCTCTTGTTTTTCTCTTCATTAACCTCATCAAGCTTTTCGATCCCAATCTTGTTTATTGTCAAATAAGGCATTTTTGACACCACGTTCGAAGGCAAGTTCACGGTCCACCTTAGGTTCACCGCAGCCTTTTTTGTCACAGGAAACATTGTGCTTGCTCTAACAGCGGTTCCACCAAAAATCCCAGCTTTCTTGTCATCTTTCTTCAGCAATGGCCCATCGTTCCCATAGCCAAACTGAGGGGTTTCACGCCCATCATCAGCTACGTTAAGAGGTTCCAATTTCAAATCTTGCCAACCCGAATCCGAAGGTGAAGCGGATTGTCCCGAAACCGAGAGATGAGATCCAGAATCTGATTCAAGGCTAGGTTTCGACGACGTGACCTTGTGGAGAGAAAAGTTGCCAAATTGAGGCTTGAAATGGAGAGAGAAAGAGGGAATCAGGGTTCCGGGGTTAACAGATGAAAGAGAGAAGTGAGCAGAGAAGACAAGAGGGGAGTCTTTGGGTGATCCGAAGAGACCAAGACCAGATTTCAGAGAAAGAGAGAAAGGGAAGGTGGAGGAAGGGGAATTAGAGGGAGCGTAAGAGAGTTTGAGACAAGGGCCGGAAGGGAAATTTGTGCAGAGAGAAAAGGAGGTGTTTTGAGAGGATTTGCTGCTGTTTTCGGCGGTGGCGGTGGCGGTGGTGGTGGTGGTGGTGAGGCTAGAAACGAAGGGGTGGCTAAATATGGAGATGGGAACTCTGGCTTTCAACACAGGGTTCGTCTCATCTTCAAGCTTGAATGATAGCTTCATTTTCTGTTGGTTGTAGGAGAGAAGAGTGAAGTGCAGAGAGGGGGAGGGCTAATCCTATGCGTAAGGCGAAACCTGTGAATTAGATTGGTTTGGGATTTTGGCAAAACGAGATTGTAGTAGTAGCCTCATCTGCCAAGGAACGACTCCACCGCTCCATTCATCATTCCAATGTCCCCCACAAAAAAGGGACAAAGAGGATCGTGTCAAATATACTTTAATTGCTCCCTTCAACGGGGTAAATAGCATCCACTAATTAGTCTCCGTGATAAAAAATTTAATATTAAATGATTTAAAGTTATTTTTTAAATAAATATTATCTTATCTGTACGTATATTAGATGTAAATAAATAAATTTTTAGGAAAAATTATATCTTTAGTTTCTAAACTATCGGCTTTAATCTATTTTAATACTTAAACTTTCATTTTTTTTCAAAATCATAAATAAAATTTAGTTTTTATTTTATTTTAGTATTATGTTCAAAATTTAACGTTAAATTTTGAAAATAATTGAAAGTTTAGGTATTAAAACGGGTCAAAACTGATAGCTTAGGTACTACATGCGTTAAGTTTTTAGCGTCGAGGTACTAAAATGAAACAAAAACTAAACGTTAGAAATAATTTAATTTTTTTTTAAAGTTTAAGTATTAAAATATGCCAAAACTGATAGTTCAAGTATTAATTGTGCACTTTACCCTAATTTTTACCTACTAAAGTTTTGTTTGTCTTTGTTTATTTATTTTTAAAAGTATATATATTTAATTTGTGTTTGTTTAAATTTTTTGTATTGTGTTCATGTTATTTATCTGCTTTTGAAGATATTTGTATTTGTTTTTAAGTGTTCAAGTTGGTGCAAGCTGCCTTTGTATGACATTGATTTCGGGTGGGGAAAGCCGCTATGGGTTGTCAGCGTAAACAGATTGGTGAACAACACAATTGCCTTGGCAGACACACATTCCCGTGATGGAATTGAAGCTTTAGTCACTTTGGATGAAGAAGAAATGGCCCTGTTTGAACAAAATGAACTACTCCTCAAATATGCTATTGCCAATTTAAGTATTTATGCTTTCTGCAATTCAAATTATAGTTGTCGTCTGTGATTTTGTTCCTTTTGTTTTACCTTTTACAATGGTTTGAGCAGATAATGGTGTACTTCTTTCTTGAGCAAAGTAAGACGTTTTTTATCGTTGAATTTTTAGAGTTAGACTAATTTTTTATTTTTTTTGATTAGTGGTGATCATAAAGTAGTATATGTTCAGAATTTTTCTTAATCACTGACAACGAGTGCACTCTGCAGACACAATTGTCCGAACCCAAAACCTTATTGGACAAGTTCAACCATTTATGTATTTTACCCTAATACTAATACTAATACTAGCATTGAAGAGTATAATTACAACCGCTTCGTAGGAGATTAATTACATGAGTTGCCTAGCCTGGGAATTCAGATCGATACAAACTATGGTTGCAGGTAGCTTATAAGAGGAGTGAGCAGCTGTCTGTCGTCCAGCTAATACATAGAGAGCGCATGAGAAACAAAACCCAAAACCCAGCAAAAAGATATTAATTCCGTAATAATGAAATTATACTTGGATTTATTGGCTTTGATTCTTGCTCTTCTGCTTGGGATCTATGTTTTCCTGTCTGGTTTTCTGAAGAAAATAAATGAATGGCGCCATGTTAGCAGCTTGGGAGAGAAGAAACATTCTCTTCCTTCAGGCGATATGGGATGGCTTATCATCGGCAACATGCGGTCTTTCCTCAAAGCTTTCAGATCCAACGACCCTGACACTTTCATCTACGACTTCGTTCAAAGGTCTTTCCTCTTTCCCTTTCTTTATTCAGAACCACAATGGTCTTATTTTAATCACAATCTGAAACCCTTTTTTCTTCTTTTGGAAACACTACAGGTACGGCCGAATGGGTGTTTACAAGACCTACTTATTTGGAAGTCCAAGCATCATAGTTTCTATTCCAGAAACCTGTAGGAAAGTGTTT